ACACTCCCTTATTAAAATGGGAAATAATATAAGTGTTTGGACAGATATGCCCATCTCGCCAATTCTATCCTTAAAATGTTAAACTTTTATCTAAAATACATTAATAACGTAAAATCACGTCATTTATCATTTATACCTTTAATGAAGTCACAAATCATTTGTTCTTCAATATATAATTTGATAGTCTAACATTTAACCAAATTATTAAAATAGTATTCTAAATTGCTTTCATTTACAAATTTTGCATCCTATTTTCATTTTCTTCACCTAATAAATTGTGAAAAATTTGCTCGGCTACCATTTTTTTTTTTTTTTTTAAATTTCTTAAATGAAAATATTTGTTAGTACAAAATTGCAAGCGGATACAAAAAACTGATATAATTAAGATAAATTTTTTGAGACAAATAAAATAAGCCATATCTTGAAGGGGTTTTATCAATTGTGTAGGTGATAAATTTCATATTTTTCAATCAAATATATCAAATGCGTTATTGTTTTTTGTATTTTTCAATCATTTTCAATATTTTTAACATAGAAGAAATAGATACACAAAATTCNAGTAGAGAATGTTGAGAATAGCAACTCTTAAGAGTAAAGAGAATGAGAATACTCTGATAGTAAAGAGAAAAGTTGAGAAAGAGTAGAGAATTACTCTAAGAGTTAAGCTACATTATGATGAGTAGCTAGAGAAAGAGTAGAGATCTTGTGCACAAGAGTTAAAGAAGAGAATAGAGTAAGTTGTGTGATGGGGAACCTGTGAGTGACGAGTAGAGTCACGAGAGTGGGTGCTTTGTGATCCCCAGCCGTGCCTCCGGTCAGATGAGGCCGTGACTGTCACGCAGAGTAGAACATGAGGTTCCAGCCGTGCCTCCGGTAAGATGGGGCCGTGACATTCAGAGAGAGAGAGAGAGAATACACTCACATGGCCAAAGGTTCCGAATCCATGCATAACTAAACCCGATCGGTAGTGAAATAAGCGGAAGTCACGTAGAGTGGTAGCGCCCAGCCGTGCCTCCGGTCAGATGAGGTCGTGACATTCCAATGAGTAAGAATGAGAAAGAAAAGAAATAGAAAGAACAGAGATGAGCAAACATGAGAAAGAATAAGAGAAAGATAAGAGCATAGAGTAGGTTATGCGATGGGGAACCCGTGAGTAATGGGTAGAGTATTCCCGCATGTGTGCCGCATTGAGAGAGTGGCATGAGTATGAGATAGAGAAGTAGTGTAGCCCGTGAGAGTGCATGCAGATGAAGGCTATACCCGAGTACCCGAGAGAGAGATTATATACTCACATGGCCAAAGGTTCCAAATCCATGCATAACCAAGTCCGATCGGCTAGAATGAGTAGAAGTCACGTAGAGCGGGAGCGAGTCCCGGCAGTGCCTCTGATAAGATGAGGCCGTGATTACTAAAGAGAGTTAACAGAAAAGAATGATGAGAAAGAGAAACGGAAATGAGAATGAGATAATAGAAAGAATTAAAGAATGAGAAAGCTTAAGAAAGCTTAAGAAAGAATGAGATAGAAAGAGAGAGAGAGTATGAGAAAGAATGTGAAAGTTTGAGCTAATACGAATAGAGAGTAGAAGAAGAAACATGCAGTTCTATTGTATTAATTGCATGTAGAGCTTATATCAGAGAGAACCATGATTTTTCTTCATGGTGAGTATAATGAGAATAAGAGAAAACCATGATTGTCCTTCATGGTGAGTAAGAATAAGTGAAAAAGAACAGAAAGAAAGAAAGAGTAAAGAGCAGAACAGAGTTAGAGGAGAAGAATAGTATTAGCAAGAAAGAGGAAAACAGTGAGAAATAGAAATAGAAGAACAGTAGAGTAAGGAAAGAACCAAAGAGTGAGTTGCGGGGACAGGTAGTAGAGGATTTACTTACTGAGCATTGTTGTGCTCACCTCGTTGTTCTTATCTGTTTTGCAGGAAATAGGAGCAGCGGTCGGATGGACGTCGACGAGCGAAGAGTATTGGCACCACTGTCCACCAACTATAATATTTTGTATTAATTAGAAAGTTTTTAAATACATAGTCTTTTGTATTTGTAAAGAAGTATATTTTTATGAGTAAAGAAAAATTTGAGCCCACTATCTTTCATATGATATACATATCTATAGTTTACATAGTATGTATTATAAGAATAGTACTAAAGAGGAGGTGTTACAAATAGTATTCTAAATTGCTTTCATTTACAAATTTTGCATTCTATTTTCATTTTCTTCGCCTAATAAATTGTGAAAAATTTGCTCGGCTAACCTTTTTTTTTTTAAATTTCTTAAATGAAAATATTTGTTAGTACAAAATTGCAAGCGGAAACAAAAAACTGATATAATTAAGATAAATTTTTTGAGACAAATAAAATAAGCCATATCTTGAAGGGATTTTATCAATTGTGTAGGTGATAAATTTCATATTTTTCAATCAAATATATCAAATGCGTTATTGTTTTTTGTATTTTTCAATCATTTNTTTAATTAATTTCTTGGCGGCTACTCCAAGATTAAGTATTTCCTAATTTTATGGGTTTAGTTTTGTAATTATTTTATTGGTAGTTAAATATAAATGAAATAAAATCTTAAATAAATTCCTAATATAATATAATATATATTTGGGCAGATAATGTTAATAGAGTAGTGTCCTAATAATTCATATATAAAAATTTTAAATCAATGGAAATGACTCCATGTCTAAATCCTAATTAGTAAACACAATTACGGTAAAAAAAAGGTACAAGAATTTTACAAGTATGATATAACAAATTGTAAAAAATACATTTATAAAAATTTGGTTATAAAATTCAGATACAGGAAAAATACAGTATAGGTATATACGAGTTGAATACGATACATTGTTAATAATATGTTTTGAAAAATACGGTAATATCAATCCTTGTTTTAGCCTTTTTTGTGGACCATCGGGTTAAAATCAATATAGCATTTTATTGTCTTCATTGTTTCTTGTTACACATTATTGGGTAATGGCTATAGCTTATACATAGCCTAACCATTTTTAAAAAGCTAACACTTAAGTTTTATAAATTCAAAGTTTAAAACTTGTATAAACAAAAACTATTATAACCGTTTCATTTTGACCCATACAACACAAAACAACAAAACTAAATGGAATATTATGCTAAAACAGATACCAAACAGCAAATATAAGTCTTATAAGCATTTCATCAAACATGTTTCAAACAAATCCATCAATCCACCAACATAACAAATCCATTAATCCACCAGCCCGTACTACTACTCACACACTAGCAAAAAAAACAAGAAAATTACCAACATACGAGATTCAAAGAGAATTAAAAAGAGAAGAGAAGAAATGTGTATCGTGACCATGAGGCTTGAAGAGTTGAAGTCTAGGACTTGAAGCTTGGACCTTGGAGAAGAGAGTTAAAAAGAGAAGAGAAGAAGAGATCAATACTCAAGAGTCAAGAGATGAAGAAAATAGAGTTAAAGAGATGAAGAACTATTGAAGATTTCAAGAAGAGATGATGTGAAGAACTGTGGAAGAGAACTGAGGAAGAGGAGAAGGAGAAAAGAAAATCTTTTAAATTTTTTAGTCATACCCCACCCAAAACCACGTCGTTTTGGCTTTCCATTAATTTTTTTTTTTTTTTTTGCCTGCAATAATTAGGCAATAATACGTATATAATTCACGAATTATACGGATTGGACATATAATTCGTGTATTATACAACAACCTTAATAAAATATGTAAATTTGAGTTTATAGACAAATTTACTAAGTAGGGTCTAAATTGCTTTCATTTACAAATTTTGCATTCTGTTTTCATTTCTTTGCCTAATAAATGGTGAAAAATTTGCTCGGCTACCCTTTTTTTAAATTTTAGACGAGAGAACAGATGAAAAGCTTGTTAGAAGAGAAAAACATGAGCCCCACATTTTATATGAAAATTTAGAATTTTGATTAAAAAATTATTTATTCTCTTCCTTTTTTTTTTTTTTGTATTTTCTCTTTTTTTTTTTAAAACAATTTTTTTCTTAAATGAAAATATTTGTTAGTACAAAATTGCAAGGGGAACAAAAAAACCGATAAAAACATAAAATATATACATATTATGTTTTTATTGGTTGAATCTTAAATAAAAGGGGTTTCTTAACCCCTTGAAGGTTGAATCAAGTAATAAAATTTCTCCTGAAATTTCAAAAATTACATATATCCTCCCACAGTTATTATGTCACTTGAACTTTTAACATAAAAGGTTAATAAATATTTACCTAATTATCCTTCACTTTTTATTTTGACCCCATAAGCTTAAGGGCAAAGAGAATTCTATAATTTTATAATTACTATGAACTTCAAAATCCCTATAGACCATAGAGGGATTTTTGTTATTTAGTTACACCGCGTGGAATTATTGTTATTAAACCGTTAACACAATCAATCAACTTATTCATTGTTTTTAAATCTGTCTAAAATATTTATCTCCGACGATACTAATCCGGTGAATTCTCAATGCTATATTTTGCAGTAGAAAACGTGATTCAATATGCATGATTTCAGGTTTTTGATGAAGTATCTGTGCTACAAATTACCATGAAAAATTCCAAGGAAAAAAGTTATGAAATCCATTAGTAGTAATTTGCTGCATATCTTTACCATGAATTTGAACTGAAAAAGCATGAACAATAAAAGCATTATCAGTAAACTTATGCTGATTTCTGATAAGAATGTGCCTAAACCTTGAGTCGAGGGCCTAGATGGTTGAGTAAAACTCATCTTGAAAAGCCGGTTTACCAAACAAAGGTGTCCAACTCCTTATAAACCACTTAATCGCTCCAATCGTTTCCAATGTGATCTCCTAACAATTTCAAATATCATTTTAGGTTTTGTAGTCTTTTTGCAATGAATTGGGCACAGCCAGCCCTTAAGCTTTGCCAAGATATTTCAACAATGGATACTATGTTAAAAAGAGAAATGAAAGAAACAAAACCCTGTAATTCTTTGAATGTGTTTCATATGAGCTTTATGTACACTGCATTTTTGCTTGGTCTGGAACTTGTAGCTGATGCAACTCCACATTTTCTATTACTTCCTTCAGAGCACCTCGACCCAGAAACATGAGAACCTATGGCCACAAACCAAACACCGTAGTAAGAACACCTGCAGATCATCCTTAGAAACAAAACTTTTACAGATTTTGACAGAAAATAAAATAAAAACGTTACTATTAAATTTTTTCCAGCTATTTTAATCCCAGTCCTCTTATTCCAAGCCCGTGAAACAATGAGGACATTACAATTCATGGATGAATATATAATAAATGAGAGAAAGCAATGTCATTTTTTAACTATCATCAATTCTATATACCAGTTGGAGAAAGTACAGAACAAAAGCTAGATGATGGCAAAGATGTTGATTAGTAGACATAACCAAATATGGTCAAACTACTTCATTATTGCTTGCTTCGAAAGAAAAACAGAAAAGGAAATGAGGAAACAAGAATCAAACCTCATTTGCATCATTGAAGCAACAGAACTCATCTTTCTTATGCCATTGGACACGCCAGCATCTGAAAACCGACAAACTACATAAAGAGATAATTGTAAGTATTTGGAAACTACTTTTGGGGGAATATATAAACAGAATTCAGACTATAAACCTCAAACATGATGATTATCAGTAGACGAGGTATACTATTGTAGTAAAATTTCTGTTTATAGTGTTACTACAAAAGATATTGCCTACATTAAGGTTTCACTGCGTCAAGATTTTGCACCACCAATTTGATAATTCAGTGCTATCTTTACAATCCTAGATACCACCAATTAAAGCAAAAGCTATAAACTTTGGACTACTGATAAGCAGGCTTCATCAAATTTTGGTCTTAATCACTGATTAGAGTCCCAAGTTTCTGAAGCACATGAAAGGAATTAATTTATAATTGAAACCTCTGCTTTCCAAGATGGCGTGCTAGCTCTTCAGCCAAGGCTTGACTGGGTATATCACCATCAATTACCAGGATAATGAAAGAAACCTCAAGATTCATTTATGCTTTTAAGAAATAAGATCAAGCAATGAAGAGAGGAAAACCAATAAAAATTTCCATATTGGGTCAAGCATGCATATGTAATAAGTTTACCTTATCCAAGTGCTCTTTGTAATTCCATATATACTGATATCCAGTATCCTATGTTTCCAAACATGGACAAAAAAGTCATTGTCGAAATGCCAAGTTTGATATGAAAATTTTAAAAATTATGCATAAGATACAGATACATAATGTCCTAGCTTCACAAAATACACAGAAAGTGCATTAGATCCAGAATTTTTAGCAAGTGCACAGAAAACACATCTTCTCAAATGATGAGAGAGAATCTCTATTTGTGCTCCACTTTTTTGCCTTCAGAAATACCATGTGTATGACCTTCTCAATCACAAAAGATCAAATTCAGCAAAGTGAAGCTTAAATAAAGCAACCACCACTTAAGGGGAAAAGGTTACAATCAGACCATATATTAGATAAACCTATTATCTACAAACAAGGACATGAGTATAGCATCTGGACGTAACACTGGTGTCAAACATGAAACTCTGAAAAATTAGAGACATGCAAACAGTTTTACATGCTCACATTTGTGCATTCATGACATCAAATCTAAATACTGATTTATGATGATATACTTGTTTGCTTGTAGAAAACAACAAAGGGTAAGTAAATCATCAAGCTTGAAATGTTTAGGTTTCATAAAAAAAAATTGTGAACCCTCAAAATGTTACTATATACTTAAAAAATGGTGATGCGTTTTGCCACAACTGTCCATACATATGTTGGGCAGGGGTAGGCACAAGCATTGAGTTTCAAGTGTAACACACCAAATTTTCATCAGGGAAGTGTCCGTCAGATCATACCACCGAAAAATGTTGCAAATAGCAAGTTTTAGCCATAAAAGACAAAAATGTATGGCTCATTTACAAACTTAGTAAATTAAAGTTTACAGTTTATAAGATCCTAGTTGACATTTCTTTAGTTGTTACATTTTATAAGATCTTGTCAAGAGAAGTGAGCAAGCCATGAAAACAATTACTTATGAGATAATGAAAGTAACATGACTCAACATTTTCAAGTCAGCCAAACCTTGTCTTCAGGTGGCAAATCTTTTGTGGAAACCTGAGCAGGTGCTCCATCAGTAACACTGACACAATTACGAAAGCCAGCTTCCTCCATTGAAAGCTTGTCCATTTCACCTTCAACCTATAATCAAGAGTTCAACATTTGTAAGTACGGAGGTCAGATTAACAGTTAGCAGAAACTCTTAGAAAACAGAGAGGAAGACATACAATGATGATATCACTTTCTCCCTCTATATCATCCAAACCATAAAATACCTTGTCAGTATCCTTGTCCTGAAATAGAAGATCAGTACAAAATTGATCTAAATAACGGTTAGTAGAGTTCATACGCTATAAGCATTCAGAGTATAAGAAGTGATATGAGAATCAAAAAAAGGAACTGTCCAATGGATAAGTGAAAATTACTCCATCTCCATGCAGTCAAATTAAATTCAATGTTATGAGGGCTGCACACTCACTGAACAACAGAATATACCTCCACTCAGTTTTATGTAAATGAAAATCCCACTGACCAGGTTTATTAATAACCAATTTATGGTTTACATATGTATTTGGCACCAGTCAAAGGAAAATTTTACAATAATGTGGCTTCACAGCAAATGAGATCTCCAGGAGGAATTAGTAATCTCATGTTAAAATTCAACTGTCTAAAAGGCACTTGTATTAGAACTCTTAAGTCATCATTTAATCGTTCCATTGATCTAATTAAAAATTAGTTAATAAAACCTGCCAAAATATCTTCATGATGTCCCGATATTTGCAATTTACGAGCTTCCCCCTTTTCCGATAAGTAAATGCAGTAACAATCTGGCAACAAAATTAGATAGATAGTGTCACATTTGGGCATATTGTAAGTTTTTGTCACATTAAGAAAGCTAACTTGGAGCTGCGCCTAATAGAATTTCACTTTCTTCACATTGCATGATGAAGAAACCTGTTGAGCAACTGTTCTAAATGGAAATATAACTTTATTCACAATTGTTAACTATTTTTCAGGTTTTCACAAAGTTTAAACTCTGATAAAGACAATGGTAAGAAATAACAAATTTAACGTATGTTGGAGGAAGTCAATGCGAACAAAAGTTAACTGCTTAAATGAATTAAAACCATGTACCACCATCTGCTCTCTTTCAATATGGCTTCAGATTTTATATATATATATATAGTTGTGATTGTGATCATGTTCCATTCACAAGCCTTTGCACATAAAGAGGGCTGTCAGAACTTAAACACTATTCCTAGGCTTTACCTCTTAATTTTATGGACAGAAACTGAATATTTATCAAGAACAAAATGAGAATAATTATTTTCTTGTAGTCTAGACATGGTAAAGGCCATCATCATCCTAGCATAGGATTTATAGTTCAAGATAGTTGGAAACCTCATTATTCCAACATCTTTTCTGCATAACAAGATTTCTCTGTAGCGTCTCTGATGTTATCATTCGCTCGGCAAAATAGCGACGAAGCTGAAACAGGACAAAATGTAAATTTTTTATTAAAAAACCGATGCAAAAGGCAAAGATGATAAACTGATCAAGAATCAAAGCCTCAGAATCCTGTAAACTCAACAAAGAGAGGGAGAGAGAGAATAATACAAATAACCATGCATATAATAGTATACACTTGTGAAATGAACAAGAAAAAGCATTTCTCGATGGCTTGAAAGCATAAATTGAAATGCACAAAGGTGAGCTTCAGCAACTACACAGCAACAGTTGCCAGAAACCAATTTTTGAGGAAAAGAAAAGACCAGTAGAAAGGCTAGTGCCCCTCAAGCAAACATCTAAAACATGTTTTGAATAAAAAATAAAAGTTGTACTCAGAACAAGAAAATTAATCATGTACAATGGAAAATAGCCAATAACAGAATGCTCAAGCTATCAAACAATTTTTACTAAACTCATAACCAAAAAATAATTGCAAAAACAGAACAAAGATCACACACAAAACAAAAGGTAAAATCCACCAACCTGGTCACATAGTGGCTCTAGTCGCAGACCCTCCTCTGTGACTTCTCTTATTGTCTTCTTTTGGGCAATGTGGTTCAATCTTGAACGTGATGAAGTGCTGTCTCCAAAGGCCTGCAAGTGTAGATGCAACATCAATCTAAGAGTCAAAATAAAAAATACTCACAAACATATAGCTACAAACATTTCAGCTAACTGATACAAAGAATATCTTACACTGGTGCAGCCTTTCCATTCACATTTTGCACGACAACACATCCATACAGCTGAGCACACAGAAATTGCCAAAATAAATAAATAAATAAAATAACAGAGAGGTAAGTGGTGATCTGTTAAGAACAGAAAAGAAGAAATTATAAAGGAGGAAAGTATAAGTAGCATACCCATCAGGGCTGATGTAAACAGACAAGCTTTTTTCCTCTGAATCACCACCATTGCCCTAATATACAAAGAACAATGAAAGATAACAAAACCAACATTATTGTTAATCCATAAGATTGGATAAGGAATGAAACATGAAGATCTGAAAGCAGATCTACATCTAGAAATTAAATCAAGAATTAAGTTCAAGTCTACCGGCAGCTTCATGGAACCAACACATCACAGTAAGTCATCCTCACGAATTTGTGGTGAAGCAACTCAAATTTGGTTAGCGTCTTTCAGTTTCTTAAATTGATAATTGTTTTTTCTAGTACAATTCTCATTACACAGCAAGTTAATTAATATAAAAAAAAACCTCAAAAAAATGTCCACAACTCATGTGCATAAATCATGACATTCAGAGAAAACAAAGAGAACAAAACAAAACCCGATTCCCATAAATTGAACAAAACAAAACCTGATTTGCATAAATTGAACTCAAAGAACACAACCTACAGCTGGACAAAGCAAACTATACTGGCCAGGGACACATTTCTCCATATCCATCCCCAGCCCCTTCAACTTAATCGTCAAAACATCCAACGGACGCAAACCCAAACGTCGATTACCTATATCCTTAGAAAGAACCACAAAACAAACACCAACATTAGTTTCACAGACACTCTTTAAATGTACTCAAAAACATATAAAATTAATCCATTCTCTATCCTCAAAGAGATATTAATTTTACAAATACCCTTTAAGTGAATATATAGACTAAATGCAAAAAGCACGTAAAACAAACAAACCTGGGGCTGAGGCCTGAGGAGAAGTCATTGGTTTTAGTTTTGGGTTTGAGAGTCAAAGGATGGTGACTATTACTACTATTATCAATGGATTTTGTTATGCCTAAAGATATAAGTGCTGACGTCAGGACCCTTTAGCTCATAAAAGTCAGACCATTGGAACAACCACCGTCTGCATCTGTCAGGATAGTGGGCACGCGTCAAGCTAGTCAAGACGCTGTGGTGCTCCCACGTGTCCAATCCCTGCTCTAAATCGCGCAAATCACTCTGAAAGGTGGGCAATGTGACATAAAGAAGGATTTGCACGGATAATCCCACCAACTTGCAGATTTAGTGATGATTGCCTCAATGCATCTGACTATAAATTAGGAATTCATCTCTCATTAAAGGGATTCGCACATTTTTCACTTGATTAATTACTCTCTCTTTTCTTAGCAATTGATACCTTGTAATATCATTATAAAGTCAGTCAGCTAATAGCGACCTGACCCCTATCATCAATATAAGCATCAGTGGACGTAGGACTTGCTACCTCAGCATCTGAACCACTTTAAAAACTGTCTCCCTTGCGTTTACTATCTCTCATCCATTACTTTCACGTGTGATTTTGGGGCCCCTGCAACAATTCGCACGTGCGTTTCGTTGGTGCAAAATCTCGCATCAACAGTTTGGCGCTAGAAGGAAGGCCTGATTTAGTGTTCATCCTTCATCAGGAGAGTCTCCAACCTACCGATCCTACAACAACGAATGGTCCGCCAGCCAGAACATGAGCAAACCAACCAGGGCACTCAGGGGTCCCCCCAAGTTCAGGGGGATACCTCTTCCAAAAAACCTTCAGCCCTGCAGAATGTTGTGGGAGATATCCCGTCAAGCTCACAGCTTGACCCCGCTATAAGAAGCTACCTAGAGAGGTTTGATAATACTCTCCAAATGGTCAACCAAAGGCTGAACCGTTTGGACCAAGGGGCACCATCCAAGTCAGCTGCGGCGGTACAACCGCAAAAAACGCCTGCAGGTCACGCGAAAGCACGGCACAAGGAAATAGCCTGTGCCTTGAGCACTGCAGCGCGAAGGCGAAAGGGTGAGCAAGTGGCAAAAAGCAAGCCCACGGGCTCCAAAGGGCCAACAAACACCAACCGCGTCCTAAGCAGAATACCAGTCTTGCTGAGACTTGGTGAAAAGATGCAGCCTGAGCTGTCCCACGCCACATCGCAGGTACGTACCCATAAAAGTGTTGGACGGGTCGATTCTTATCACTGTTAGCAAGCCAATCCTGGTCACCACCGTGCAAGAGGGTCCCATACTTCACGGGCCGGTTCTTACCACTGCGAAGGTCGTGAGAATACCCCGCACCTCTCATCGCCATCGCATGCCTCTAGTCAGCGTGTGTCAAGAGTGGCTGGAACCGCCAGCCGAGGCGAAGAAGAGCCCGACCTCTGGAGTTTCCTCAATCATAACCGCAAGAATCGAACTCGCGTGGGTGAAAGCAACCCCCAAGTGGCTCCGTTGCCGCAAATTGAGTAGTTGCAACAAGCTCTAGACAGGCTAAGGGCCCAGCAAAATAAGCAGGGACATGTCGCATCTACGTCCCCCTTCTCTCCTGAGGTGTTAGCTACTCCACTCCCACCAGGATTCAGGATGCCCGACATGCGGGCGTTTGATAGAAACTCCGATAGAAACTCCGATCCGCAGGATCATCTGTATGAATTTAACGATCTGATGGAGCTTCACCAAGTCTCAGACTTGGAAAAATGCCGCTATCTAGCAATAGCATTGACCTCCCATGCCAAACGATGATTTAGGTCGCTCATAGCAGGGTCGGTCAGTTCGTGGCGTCAGATGAGCACGACGTTCCTAAGGCATTTTCAAGCGAATCAGAAGTTTTCAATGCCTTTGAGCTACCTTAGCAACATAAGGCAAGAAAGGGATGAATCCCTCCAGTCTTACATTGACCGTTTCCAAAGGGAACTTAACAAGGTGGCTCATACTCCCGAAGAGTCTATTCAGACTCTCATTATAGCCGGGGTTCGCCCACAAACCGACCTGTGGAAGGAATTATAAGCTGAGGACGATGTCTCCCTCATAGGATTCTACAACCTTGTGGAGAAATAGCTCAGAATAGAAAATTCGTTGGCGGCATTACGCCGTCGTGACCCCGGCGCATCAAGCAGTATGTCTGGTTGGGGGGAAAGTAGAAGAGCTGATCGCATAGGAGACGCTGACGATCAACGAAAAGGGAAGAAACCCCGCTATGAGCACAAGAAATCATATGCTCATGTTCCTTGTCGCGACCGCGACAGAGTTCATTATACTCCACTGAATGTGTCTGTATCAGCCATTCTTGATAAATCCGAGGAGGCTAGTCTGCTCGGTGAGCCAGAACCCATGAAAACTCCCGCGGCAACCAGAAATAATAAAAAATACTGTCGCTTCCATCGGGACAACGGGCATCATATAGATGAATGTAAAGCTCTAAAGCAAGCGATCGAAGAGCTCATAAAAAAAGGGCACTTCAAGGAGTATATTGATGACTCCGCTCCTGCAAAAGAGAAGTGTTAGGGCCAAAAATCGCCCTTGGCCCAAATAAGCAAACAAGACCACTAGTGAAGGAAAGACCGGGCCCAGTCCTAAAGAGGCCCAAGCCAGATCGATCCCATTTGATACGAAATATGGCCGACCCAAACTATCTAGGTACGGGCCTCCCAGTTCCAGCTCACTTCTTGGGTTCATAGGCAAGCTTCGAGCCCACGGCCCATTGATCATATTCCTGTTCTTGATCAATCTCCTATTCGAAGTCATTTTCCTGTTCAGAACATTTTCCTTATCAGAATCACCTTCCTACTCGGACACTGGTAAGATAGCTTACTACGGCCCTAATTCTTCTAGGGTTTGCACCAGAGTCACATTAGGACTCCTACTCCTACCAGAATTGGGAGACTAGACAGTCACTATATAAACAAAGGCCAGCCCTCTCACAAAGGACATTACACCTTCACACCCGAAGCTCCTATTCGAGAGCTTTACATCACCGCCATAGTCACAGTCCCTGACTAGACTTTCGGTAACCTCTTACTCCCTAGCCCTCACTATATTAGCCTTTCAACCTTGCTGACTTGAGCGTCGGAGTGCCTACGGCAAACACCACTCCAGTGTTTCCCGTTCGCTTCACACATGTGTTTTTCTACGTGTGCAGGTACAGCAGATCACTAGTGGCCTCATCCTCACGGGATCAGACCCCCCTTCCGTACAGGTAGATTTTTACATCTACAAGAAGAACCAAGAGGAACAAGGAAGAAAACGTCGTAATCGCAGTTGGTATAGCAGCGTTAACATAATCTTTGGAGGACCGCTCCTCGCAGGAAACACGTGAGGCATGCAGGAAAGGTAGGCTCGCGAAGCCCATCACGACCCGATCAGGGTGATGAGCATATCGCAACGATCACAAAAGGCTCGAAAGAAGGAGCCGATTGCCTTCTATGAGAAGGAGGCAGCTCGTTTGCATCATCCTCGCGATGATGCCCTTGTGATCACGCCCCTAATAGGGTGCCATAATGTCCTCAGAATGCTCGTGGACAACGGAAGCGCTGTGAACATCCTGTTCTAGACTGCTTTTGAAAGAATGAACTTGGACAAGGCCAACCTGAAGCCCGCTTCAATCCCTCTATATGGCTTTACAGGAGACCACCTGATCCCCAAAGGAACGATCCAACTCCCAGTCACGCTCGGTGACTACGACGAGGTGTCTAGGGTTACTGAATTCTTGGTTGTGGATTGCCCATCGGTCTTCAATGGAATCTTGGGGCGACCTCTGTTGAGAAGCTTCAAGGCAGTCACTTCCATATATCATCTCAAGATGAAGTTCCCAACTCCAACGGGGATAGGGGAAGTGAGCAGATCGCAAAGCGCATCTCGCGACTGCTACATAAAAGCAGTGCAGATGGCGTGTAAAGGAATGGACATTTCGCGATGTGTGCCCCGCCAGGCTATGACGATCAACCAGATCGAGCCACAGCCTGGCCCAGCAGAGGATAATATAGATCCTCGAATCCAGGAAATCCCTCCCAGTGGCCCGGTTGAGGATCTGTCCGAGGTTTCAGTTGATCCAAAAGAGTCGAGCCAAGTGTTAAGAATTGGAAGATGTCTCAACCCCCAGGTCGTGTCCGAGCTGATAAGCTTCCTAATTGAAAACATCGATGTGTTTGCCTGGTCGCATGCAGATATGGTCGGGATCAGCCCGGACATCATTTGCCATGCGTTTGACATCGACAGTGAAGCCAAGCCGTTCGCCAAAAAAGAAGAGCAATGGATCCGGAGCAGTATGCCGCCTTGAAATTAGAAGTGGACAATCTCTTCCAAAAATGGGTCCATCCGAGAGGCACTCTGCCCGACCTGGGTTGCCAACCCGGTTCTGGTAAAGAAGCCAAATGATAAGTGGCGAACCTACGTCGACTTCAGCGACCTCAATAAGGCCTGCCCTAAAGACAACTTCCCCCTGCCAAGAATTGACCAGCTCGTGGATGCCACCTCGGGGCACGAACTGCTTAGTTTTATGGATGCATACTCGGGATATAATCAAATTTTGATATATGGGCCAAACGAGGAGCATACGTCCTTCATTATAGACCGGGGGCTGTATTGTTACAAAGTTATGCCTTTTGGCCTCAAGAACGCTGGCCCGACCTACCAGCGATTGGTTAACCGAATGATCTCCGACCAGATTGGAAGAACAATGGAGGTCTATGTGGACGACATGCTAGTCAAATCCCAGGTCGCCTCAGAGCACATTGCGCTTCTCGCTGAGATGTTTGACATCCTCCGGCTGTATAGGATGAAACTGAATCCTCTCAAGTGTTCATTTGGAGTATCATTAGGAAAGTTCCTGGGGTACATGGTTAACCAGCAGGGGATAGAAATAAACCCAGAGAAGATTCAAGCTCTGCTTGACATGGAGAGCCCGACCAGCAAAAAGCAGGTCATGTGTCTTAACGGGCGAATAGCGGCACTTAGTCGTTTCATATCAAGATTAATAGA